TGCGCAGGAGCTCCGCTATAAACAAAAACTCGCCTCCGAACATCAATTTGTCATGCCGAATTTAGTCAATAAGTTGATCCCCGTCACTATTTCGAGCTCCTCTCAGGGGAAAAGAAAAATAGTTCCAGTTGAAATAAGCGATAGTAAATGTCGGAAGGACAAATCTAAGGGGAATAGTTTTGAGTTCGAAATAACGCAGGATTCGCTTTCGAATTAGTCCAACTTTAAGCGAACGTGTCCTCGTCGCCAGGGTCTTTTCCACTTTTCAAAATGGGGGGCCGGGAAGGGGCCCGGGTACCGACATTTTGAAATAGTTGAGGAGAAGTATGGAGGAGTATGCAAGTCAAAATTCGATACCCAGTAATTGCCAACAAGCCAACGCCAACAAGCTGATTCTGCTAATTGCAAGTATGGTAATGCAAAGAGACATAACGCAAACAGTACGCACAGAGGCATAACGCTAGTAACAGTAATAGGNTTTTTATTCGTTATATTATCTCATAATTATGCCATAGTTTTAACATCCGTATTGTACATAATTTTTAGAGCACCACTGGTTTGTTAGTATTTTTATACTATTTTAGTGATACCCTCTTTAAATAAAGTCTTTACTTACTTACTTACTTACTTACTAGACATAACGCAAACAGTACGCACAGAGGCATAACGCTAGTAACAATAATAGGCATAACACAAGTACACATAACGCAAGTACACATAACGCAAATACCCATAACTCAAAGAGGCAGGACGCATGTAGGTAGAACGCAAGTAGAAATAACGTAAGAAGGCGTAAGGCAAGTACCCATAACTCAAAGAGGCAGAACGCATGTAGGTAGAACGCAAGTAGGGATAAGGTAAGTAGGCATAAGGCAAATAGGCATAACGCAAGAAGGCATAACGCAGATACGCATAACACAAAGAGGCATAACGCAAAGAAGCATAACGTAGAGGCAGAACGCAAAGAGGCATAACGCAAGTAGGTATAACGCGAGAAGGCATAACGCAAAGAAGCGTAACGCAAATAGGCATAATGCAAAGAGGCCTAACGTAAAGAGGCATAACCCAAGAAGGCATAATGCAAAGACGCATAACCCAAGACGGCGTAACGCAAAGAAGCATAATGCAAAGAGGCAGAACGCAAAGAGGCAGAACCCAAGAAGGCATAACGCAAAGAGGCAATGGTCGTAGGAATGGTTGAAGGGCCAAACACTACCGTTGTTGGTCAAGATGATAGGAAAACTTTGTCATAGATGTACGACCATGGGAGAGACGACCATGGGATAGGCGAGGAACGAGAGAGGGCGGCGGGAATCGATCCTAAACATGGAACCCGAGGTTGAAAAATCCATTGGACCAAAAACCCATCATGGAAAGTAGCCAATTGTTACAAAGAAAAGCGTAAAATTGCTAAGTTTAAGATCCCATATTTCCAGGAGTTTGCTCGTGCACTTATGAAACTCATCATATCTAATAAATTCAGCATAAAAATCGAGCGATAAGGTTTAGTTTTGTTTGAATAAAAAATATCGTGGAAGCCTCCAGTGCAGTTCTTTGCAACTCTCTTCCTAATTTGTGGGGATAGGGGTAGAGAGAAATATTAAATGATTTATTCATTGTTTTTTTGGTTTGTTTTTTCTTTGTGGGGAGCCACCAAGAAAACCAACTTGTTAATGTATAGCTTTCCAGCTCGCACTTAAATCTCACTACACATTGAATCAGTTTTCGTATCGTCTCAAGACTGTAATATCATCAATGAGCTCAATAAAGAAGTAGTAGTAGCAGTGATAGCTGCAGTAGTAGTCACGTGGAGGTGGAGGTAGTGCTAGTCATTTTCAACACAGGAATCGAAACCTTCAATACTTGCAAAGACCTCTGATCATGCACACTCGTTGTAAGGATCACCACCTTCTCTTCAGTCCAAATTAAGAATGTCACCGTACTACTCAGCTAGAGGGTTAATGTTTAGAGTACTAAGTCAAGTTATAATGTATATGGATGCAGACATAGTGCATTTGCCACTGTTTGCATTGCGCAGTAGTAAAGGATCCATTTCCGTAACGGAAACTTTTGTCAGAAGTGCAGTATTTTGTCAGCTGTACATACCAGTTTTTTTTTTTTNATTCATTGTTTTTTTGGTTTGTTTTTTCTTTGTGGGGAGCCACCAAGAAAACCAACTTGTTAATGTATAGCTTTCCAGCTCGCACTTAAATCTCACTACACATTGAATCAGTTTTTGTGTCGTCTCAAGACTGTAATATCATCAATGAGCTCAATAAAGAAGTAGCAGTAGCAGTGATAGCTGCAGTAGTAGTCACGTGGAGGTGGAGGTAGTGCTAGTCATTTTCAATACAGGAATCGAAACCTTCAATACTTGCAAAGACCTCTGATCATGCAGGCACTCGTTGTAAGGATCATCACCTTCTCTTCAGTCTAAATTAAGAATGTCACCGTACTACTCACCTAGAGGGTTAATGTTTAGAGTACTAAGTCAAGTTATAATGTATGTGGATGCAGACATAGTGCATTTGCCACTGTTTGCATTGCGTAGTAGTAAAGGATCCATTTCCGTAACGGAAACTTTAGTCAGAAGTGCAGTATTTTGTCAGCTGTACATACCAGTTTTTTTTTTTGTTTTTTTTTTTAAAAACAAACAAACAAACTCCTTTTTGGGTATCTTTAAATAACATGGAAAGAGCGAAAAAACTTCGACAAAATTCCATTTTGTTTGTTTAGTCCTCGGTGTCCTCCTTATTATTGTCATCAACCATGACAATGTCGGCTCCATCCTCAACTCATTGCTGTTTTGGACGTCCATACCTATCGATGTCAGGGCATGCAATACTCCTAGCAACTGAAAAACAACTGACAGCGCTCTAAAAGTGCTAAATTCGCAAGTGACGATTACCTCTAAATCGCTTCAGTGCCGGACACTATATGACAGCGACTAACAGATCCGGAACAACTGCGTCCGACATAAGCTTTTAAAATTGACAGACGATTGCTTAAGATGTCCACTAGATTTAGACTTTTCCAGTAAGCTTACATCACTGTAGAAAAACACAATCAGCCTTTGTCGGCCGCGGATTGACTGACTTTTCCGGGGTTCTCGTTGTAAAAACAAATATTGTTTTGCATCTGGGGACGAATTAATTTGATTAACCTGATGTCGGTTTTAAATCATTTGTCATAGCGCTGTTTTTTTACAAAAGAAAAAATACTACCATTTCAGCTGAAGATGTTAACTTTTTTTTTCTTGCTAACTTTTTGCGCCATTCAAGTACTTCGAGTTGAATCGCATATCACGTATCGCGACATGTACTTGGTTGGTCCAGTTAAGGAAAGACTTAACACTAGGGAGTGGATGCAATGCCTCATTGCTTGTTCAACATCTAACGATTGTGTTTCTTACAACTTTGAGCCAGAATCGGGAACTTGTGAGCTCCTCAGAGAGGGACTAGATTTGGGGAGGAATTGTTATCGAAGAAAGTTCCTCGTGCGCTCCCCAGGATGGATTTTTCATCAGATCACTGGTACGTGAGCAGGTTTTTCATAGTGCTTTAGGAAATAGTTCTAAAAGGAATTTACATGGGCAAAATATGAAACTACACGTAGAATAACCGAGTCATATGCTCTGAAATGACCCGAAAAACTGAGGACCGTAGATGGGGTTTGCTGCCATCTAGGATCTGATTAAAATTTTAAATGTCAGCTGCAGAAATAAGGTGATGGTTAACTAATAGCTCATATCTGAGATGTGCAAAAATTACTGACAGCTGAGAGATGGCTCAAATTTTCACATGCTACATGTAGCCGACAACTTTCCAAAACTTCACCTGTTAATTGACATGGCGGCACCGCCTTGCAGTGACGCTCAGAAAACGTATGTTAACACCATTACTCCTGTAGCTTTAGAAACATGATCGGAAATAATTCTTTGCAATCTCAGTTTTTGTGTTATATATTATTATACTGTCTAATTTTAGTACTGAGGCTAAACGTTCTTAGTTCGTTCTTGTTGTTGTTGTTGTTTTCTCATTTTACAAAAGATGTAATTCCAAATCGTTAAGTTTTTTGTAGCTTCTAAGGTCCGAAAGCAAAAATGTAGCAGAAATGGCACTACACTTTCATCGTTTAAGTTCAAATGTACCCCTTAATTAAAGTGCCACTGAAACGAAATTTTCGTATGTGAGATTTTTGCTTAGTAATAAAGTTTCAACCTTACTTGGAAACACTGCAGACTTTTTTTTCGNACAATACTTCGAATATAAGTCATTTCTCTGCATAACTGATTAATTCACATGGGATGCCATGGCTGCTAACAAGAACTGCATTCTAACACGCTCGAAAGTCGTTTCTAGAAAATAACTGAACAGATTAAAGCGAGGAATATCTTTTTGGAAAGCTCTTTCAAAGCGCCAAATAGTTAGTTCTCCTTTTCGTACGAATTGCTCTAAGAAAATCCAGGTGCAGTTTTCTTTTCTTTTTTTTTTTAGGCATATTTAATTAACAAAACCAAGCAGTACCTTTTACTACGTCAATTAAACTGACCAACTGGGTGACTTGCATGCCTAAAATAACCTCTCATTTATGGGGGATGTGTTCTCATCCTCTCTTGCTTGTTCCTAAAGGTTAAATATCTTATAGCAATCTGTCAAGTTAAGATCTCGAAATTGTGCATTTATCACTGTTTGCATTGTGCATTAGTGAAAAAACCCATTTGTGGAACGGAAACTCTTGTTCGATCTGCAGTATTTTGTCGGCTGTACATTGTTTTTAAGAGTTCCTTTTTTGAATGAAAAAATGTGCATTTGTCACTGTTTGCATTGAGCATTAGTAAAAAATACCATTTGTGGAACAGAAACTGTTGTCGAATCTGAAAGTATTTTGTCAGCTGTACATTATGTTTAAAAGATCCTTTTTTTGTATCAAAAACTAATGTAGAAAACGCGAAAAAAAATACTTAGTTTTTCAGTTTTTTCAGTCCTCACTTGCCCCTGTTCTGTTATCTATCGTGAAGACGTCGCTTCTCTTCTTAGATGACTGCTGTTGGACGTGATCCACACCATGCATGCATGCACTGCTCATGCAGCTGATTTTGAACAAATGAGAGCGCTCTAAAAGTGCTGAACTCGAAAGTGACGATTACCTCAAAACCGCCTCCATGCCGGAGATCGAGACTATATTAGAGCGACTAAGCATCCGACTTAAGTTTCTAAAATTGACAGATTGTTGCTTAAGGCGTCTACTTGATTGATCTTTTAGTCAAAAGATAAATATTCGGCTTTGCATCCGGAGAAGAATTAATTTGATTAAACCGATATCATTTAATCGTTGGCCATAGCGCTGTTTTTCGGATGAGAATACTAACATTTCAGCTGAAAATGTTAAGTTTTGTTTTCTTCCTAAATGTCTGTGTCATTCAAGTACATCGGGTTGAATCGCGTACCACGCATCGAGATAAGTACTTGGTCGGTCCAGTTATCGAAAGACTTAACGCTGGGGATTGGATGCAATGCCTCATTGCTTGTACAACATCTGACGATTGCGTTTCTTACAACTTCGAGCCAAGATCTGGAACGTGCGAACACCTCAGCGAGGGACTAGATTTGGGGAGGAACTGTCATGGAAGAAAGTTTCTCGTGCGCTCCCAAGGATGGATTTTTCATCAGATCACTGGTACGTGAGCAGATTTTTAATCGTGCTATAAGAAATGAAAACGCATTATGTATACATTTTTGACATTTTCAGCGTAGATATCAGCTAAGTAAGCTCCAATCTACTCAAAAAGGCGTTTGCAACATTAAATCATGCCTTTCTTTTCACTAGTTGAAAATGGTCTTAAATTTTCACATGATGGTCGAAATACCCCTAAACATTTTTGTAATGACCGAAGTGCAGACCCTTAAAAATGGTATGATAATACTACTGTAACTTTAGATTCAATCTTTACTATCTTTTTGCCTTGTTACAACATCTAATTTTAGTACTGAGAACTACGCCGAACAATGGCATATAAAACACGCAAAACAGTCAACAGACGTGCGCGTAAACAGCTACATTTGAATCGTGTGGTGCCATGACGACCAAAGGAGGATTAAACCTATACATCGAGCAAGAGAAACATATAAGCTCGATCAGATAGCTGCAAGAAACATAAGAATGTCTCTCTAGACAAACGTATAGCTTTCTCGAAGTAAAGCTACGGCGTCTCCGAAGAAAATCGTAGGAGAACAAATATGATATCCTTGATAAGGATCTACCTACTGTACTTGCAAACAGGTCTAATCTAAGCCGGGCTTGGCGTCACAATATAGAATGCAAGTAAGCAACATGTTCACGGTAAATTTCATATTTTGTCCCTCGAAAGCAAATTCGTTAAAAGCATACCTTGCAATACAAATGTCACGAATCGTAGAAGTCGTGTAGGCTAGTCAACCCCATTTTACACTAAGTTTATTGTTGTTTTTGTTGTTGTTGTTTTTGTCATTCAAGCCTCTAAACGAATGGAAAAATACAAAACGAAATGACACTATACTCTCAACGTTTAAGTTTCAATATACATGTACCTCTAGTAGCTTGCTGGCAAAAAAAGAACTTTTTGCAGTAATATTTAGCCAATATCAAGTACAATCGCATTCGATCGATGAAAAAAAAAATGGAAATTTTACATGTTAAAGACTTTATGGCCAGAGAAGCGGCGTAATGTGGGTGTGGACGTTTCAAAACCTGGCGTTTCCTAATGTTGGTTATCACTATCATGCCACCAAAAATAAATACAAAACCTATTACTAAATGAATTTACAAATATGGGAAATGATAGATAAATGATATTTTAATAACCTCTCCAAGATTTAGTCATATTCGTCTTGTTATACGCGCGTTATTCGGATAATTTTTTTTGGCTAAATCTATAGAGCTTTGTGTGGAGAAGCCATGTTGGCGTCTATTGGAGGAGCACAAATATGGAGATCATGAAGTAACACAAATATCGGTCATTGATCAGTTTTGCTTTTGAATTGAACAGTTGTTAATCTGGTGCTCCGACACATTAAAATTGATAGTTTGTCTATTCCGTCTGTTCCGCTGGCCTACGCCACACTACAACCTTCTCGGACCTCCGTTTTATAAATATTAAAGTTAGAGTATGGGGTCAAGGTCTGGTTGGCCCCCATAGTGAGTGTAAAATCCACAGTTACATTTACCTCTAATTTGTAACGTTGCCCGAGGAAAAAAAAAACGTATGTTAATGTATTTTTTCACATTCTGCATGCTTTTTTTCTCGCGTCGTATGTAAATTTCGTTGTGTATATATTTGTGTTATCCCTTCATGTTCATTTCGTGCTAGTTTATCGTCCGGTACACTTCTAACTTCTCGGTTCTCAGAACCCCGTTGCCAGCATTTTGGTAAGCTGTTTAGTTTATCGTCTGTTTTGTATTTTCCTCTTAGTTTTCTGCCGTCTTCGGTTAGTAATTTGTATTAATTCGTCTTATGTTTATCTTTAGGAATTTANGTCGTATGTAAATTTCGTTGCGTATATATTTGTGTTATCCCTTCATGTTCATTTCGTGCTAGTTTATCGTCCGGTACACTTCTAACTTCTCGGTTCTCAGAACCCCGTTGCCAGCATTTTGGTAAGCTGTTTAGTTTATCGTCTGTTTTGTATTTTCCTCTTAGTTTTCTGCCGTCTTCGGTTAGTAATTTGTATTAATTCGTCTTATGTTTATCTTTAGGAATTTACCTTCCTCCTATGGAAAGTCAAATAAATTTGCTTGTCAGGACTAATTGAATCTCGCTTTAAGTTGTGTCTGAAGTCGGCCCTCTGCCTCTTCACACAGTGAATGCTTATTTGTGCTCATTACATATATTTTACCTTGCCAGCTAGTGTTTACTTTATTTTGTCGTTTCTTATTTGTAACTGTCGCTAATCCATAGAATTGTGTGTAGTTACCTAATAAAGCTGAAAAACGAAATCTAACAGGTTTGTGTTAATTAAAACGCCACCCAAATGGAAACGTTTTCTTTCTACCTGTGATTTGTTCAAGAAGTTTTGTGACCAGCCACAGCCATTTTCTGTTATACAGACACGTTCTGGTCACCATGGAACCAGTGGAGTAACTGCGGGTGCATTGAAGGTGATCGAAAGCAAAAGCGCAACCGAACGTGTATTTCCTCCAGCAATGGCGAATGTAGTGGGGAAAGGAGTGAGACCAAGCCATGTTATGGTAAGAAGAAAGGAAAAGACGATACTTCACATTTTGCTTGTTTTTCTGACACAGTAACTAGTGTAACTATTATAATGACTATTAGTAGAATTCTACTAGTATGCTAATGCAAATGCTGTAATCTGATTGGCTGCGCCATTGCACTACCACCTCATAGAAATTGAGAGTGAATAATATAATTGTTAATATTATTAGTTAATTAGCGCCGACTAGACTGTCCATAGACCCTCTTTGTTGTCGTTGAGATCGCAAGCGAATGAAAAATCAGGCGACTTGAAAAGCTTAAGGTGGCTCTGAACCGTACCTACAGAATTTTTTTATACTTTACCAAAAGTTGCGTCTTATCGTGCTTATCAAAAGTTGGTAATATGTAAAAATGTCACTGTACCGTTTTTGAATTATAAGCCTCTAAAGCTGCAATTAAGGGTGTTTTAGGAGGTCATATTGTTGCTATGGTAACCTATTGAGTCACGAAAACGATAACAATGTGTTCACCAATGATTGAGCAGTTTTTTGATATCATGATTGTAGCATCAAGTGATAAAGAGTTGTTATAACGACCTATCGAAATCTAAGTACTGGAAACTGTTTCGAGTCACCTTAAACGCGATGAGGTGGACCTGGACTACTTGTCCTCAAATTCAAAATTAGGTGTACAATTACTGTCTACTTAGATTTAAAAGACATTTTATTCAGGGTGTTTTTTTTTTTTAATCGCCTGTTACCGCGATGAACACATACGAAAGTTTCAAGCTAAATCCTAATATAACAGACATCTTTTGCTGTAGAATCATCGTAAGGCTTATTGTTACCCAATAACATTACTGTTGTTCGTTGGGCTATTGTACGTTAGGCAAGGTAGTCTTGAAGGTAATCTGCGGCTGTTTTCAGGGAATTAAGCCAATTGCTCTTCAATTGTTTGAGTTTTCTCGTTCGTTATCTTTATTCTTAGATCCTACTCTTCCCTGTGGATCAGCATCAGGCTGAGGATGACAAAATAAATGAGGGCGATACGAACTGCCACTGACTATCACTTGCACTGGACATCAGCCTTCCCTGTATTACCCTAGGTTGTAGTTTGATTTACCCTCTCTTGCGCTGTATACAAAATCAATAAGAAAAATTCAAGCAAAATTAGTTGAATTTTTGTTGGCATAGTTACAGGACGGATTCTTGTAGTAACAGACTCTTGCTACAGATATTAATGCACTGATTATGATAACTACGTTGTGTATTTCAGTCATATCAATTGTCACAAATCATGCACAATATGCCTTTCATTAGGGTGGTAAAGATAACCAACTTGGAACTGCAAAAGACTGCAGTTCCATATACATTAATGTCCATGAGCGTTTTAAAAAAATTCTTGTAGAATAAAGGCAACGAAAAGACATTGGCTGTTTTGACGTTAGAGACGGACAATCCGTTTTGGATAAATTACCCGTTTTGATGTGAACAATTAACGGATAGAAACTGCGAATTTCTTTGATGCTCATAAGACAGCTAAAGCAGCTCAGGCGTGGTGATCAATCCTTTTCAATGACGGTCGACGCGTACTTTCTCATGTAAAACCGTTTTCTTGTAAGGCCTTTTACCGTCTTCTCAGCCTGCTCTAAACTTCGAAGTTTTTATTTCTCCTCCTTTTTCAGTCCCTTCTCGGCGGCCCCCTTTTCGTTTAAAATGGTTAAATACACGCATGTCAATTATGCTATTTCTTGAAAATACGTAACAAGACTTTAAGTAACATGCATTTTAGGGTCTATTTGTGATTGAGCAACCTCTCGGCAAAAGAGATTGGAAACGAAACATTACATGCACTGAGTTTGCGCAAAACAGCTCTTCAACAAACGTGTCGCCGCACTGTTGTAACACGGCAATAAAAAAAATATTGTTTGGCTGTACAGGTGCCGGCTTAGCCGTTGGAGGTGCTTACTTTTTATATGAGAGATGGCAGAAGTGCCAAGAGAAAAACAATGAGGTATGTAAAACCTAAGTTAATAAGGGAGAAGTAGAACGGAACTTTTGGCTACAACATTTATTTAGGAAGAGGGAAGTCCAATTACGAATTGAAAAGTACAGAGAGACCGAGGAAAAGGGAGAATATTATATGTAATTAATGGCGAAATCTTGTGATATTCAGTGGACTTGGGCAATCTTTTCCTCTCTTAGCTCTTTTAGCTCAATTCTAAGGCCGCGCGCGCTACGAACAAATTGAAACTCGTAAACTACAGCTTTAAAATTATTACAGTTTTATTGGCTTAAAATGAGTAAAAATGTAATACAATTCATTCGGTACATTAAGATAACCGTCAATAATTTCATTTAACGTGTAAATTTATTCCAGTACATGAAGTTAATAAAATTTCATGGTAGTGAAATACACACAGTGTTTAGAGTGATTAAATAAGGTTAACTTGCACGAGCGCTTATAAAATGTAAAGAGAAAAAGACAATAGACGCTCGGTGCTCGAACCGCACTCGGGCGAGTAAACTCCAGCGATTTTTGATGCAATGTTAATCTCACTCAGTTTTTGATTTTTATTGAGCTCGCACTGTAAAGCGTAACTGCCTGGCATTTCGCTGGTCTACTCTTTAACAAAAAATTGATAGGCTTTTAAACTTATCATTGGACAGAAAAAAATACTTTGCTGTGACTAAATTCTAAGGAGATCTACAACTATGCAATGCACACCTACTTCTCGTTCTTGTTTACAGAAAAGTTTAACATACGTTTGTAGGATTCCAAGATCGTTTTTATGTAATTGGCCTTAAATTATCATTCTGTGACGTAATGATTTACTAATATTAATTACGAAATCAACTTCACGTTTTTCTAATTTAAGAACATTAGAATCGAGTCATTACAGCAATTTGTTTGCCCACAGTTTTCAGTGCGTTTTTACTTTTTTCGTGAGGAGGCCGCGTGAGTTCCAAATCACGCATCTGTTGCCATGATGTTACAGTGCAATTTTGCAATAATAACAATAAGAAGAAAATAAAAAACAAATAAAAAAAAAATAAAAAAAAACAGAAAAATGGCAACAAGAATTCAAGAAGAACAGTAGCAACAAAAAAAAGAAGGGTCTCCACAAATTCTTTCGTCGTGCGCTACTTTTTGTTGGATACTTCTTCAGTACACGCGACCATGCATTTTGAAATCGTAGCTCAAGTTCTAAAACTATTGCGTCGCAATGGAAATTCTCATAAAACTAAACTCTTATCCGTGAACTGCCTAACACAATGTATTTTACGTCCATAGTCCACCACTAGAGCACACTCACAAGAATTTAAGGAAGAGATCAATGGTAAACGAAGTTACTTTTTAAATCAACAGCCAACATTAGAGAAATCAGAGCGTTTCAATCCGAACTTTGACGAGGCGATCGTGGAGAGAGATGATGGTCTATCAGTTTGTGCTGTGGAAAAAGGTGAGAACGCTTCAGACGAAGTCGAAACAGAAACAACAAACGTGCACAAGACAGAAGATTTAGAATGTCAAATTTGTCATGAAGAATCTTTGAAGCCTGAAAACGCTTCAGCAAAGGAGAATAAAACTGGACATGACGTACAACGCCGCCAAGATTTGCCTTTAAGGGCCGACGCAGCTTCAAACAAGTCCGATGCCAATTTTAGCATTTTTGGACCCAATTTTGTTAAAATTCCCCTCGAAGGAACGAATATCGATGAGGACGTCTTGAACGGAGAAGTGAACGATAAAACTCTAGAAGGTCTGTCTTTACTGAATCAGTCTTTTACCTGTAAAAGCCCAACAATCTCTGCAGGAAAATTGATGGCAAACTAGTTTAGAAAAAATCATCAACATAGCTTCTGTTTAGACTATTTGCCATCAAATGAGCTCATTGGGATCTACAATTTCCAACATATAGGCTACTTTAGGAATGTAAATTAAGTGCTTGAATACGTCCACTTATATGACTGTTGGAATATTCGTGATTTTGCCTTTTAAATCTTCCTTTAGAACGACTTTCGCACTACATTTAACAGCCGATCCGTTTAAGCATGTAACGGAAGCAAGGTATCAAGAAATCTTTGGCAACAATTTATAGCTCTGCATGGATGGAGTACAGCGTTCATGCCCACGGTGTTACTACACTGCCCCATCTCCCCAACCCTAGTCACACCCCCCCCCCCCCCCCCCCCCCCCCCCCCCCCCCCCCCCCCCCCCCCCCCCCCCCCCCCCCCCCCCCCCCCCCCCCCCCCCC